AAATGGGGAAAAAATACGTGAAAATCGACAATATACTTCGAAGTTGAGTCATTTATTTTAACAGTGAGTAGATCTGATCAAAAGAAATGTTTTTTTCCTTTACCATTTTCCTGGTAAAATTAAAGTAACAAAGTTATAGCCCTTTGGAAGTTTGAGTACCGCCCTGTCTCAATAACAATATTATGTGGTCGTGTTTGGCGACAACGGATATAATCCGCCGTATCGGTTCATCGCATCGGAAACAAAAAAGCGAAAGAATTTGGAACGATGTTTTTACAAGTATCTCATTCATTTGTATACAGTCAGTGTCAGTGAATGGTGGTATCTGTTGCGTGGCTCAAACGAAATAAAAAATGGCACATGTTTATGCGGATCGGTTTCCCAAACGAGTGCAACCAACCCCTCGTGCCTTTGTTAATGTAGTACAACGGGCTCGTGAATCAGGTGACTTAAGACCTCAGAGGGGACCTCACGATCAAATACAGGTCCGCACTGAAATACTTGTCGGGAGGATACTTTATAAAACAAGGTAAAATTTTTTTTTTATTTTTTTTTATTTTTACACACATATTTTGGTTTATCTTCCTTCTACAATCATTATCTGAAAATTAATGACTCAACTTCAAAGTCACCCTGTATAGAGTAAATGCGCAAAAATGCAAATAAAAAGTTGTAACAATCACACACACAGAGATAAATCGCAAAAAATAGTTAGATTAAAATTGTACGTTACCAAGGGTACATCGGGAGGCAGTCGTGTTCTCCAGGCGGCTAGTGGATCTCTTGCGATGTTTCTAGTAGTCTGTCTGCAGTTGGGTGGCTGCTGCTCGCTGTGTCCCCTGTTATTTTCCTTCTTCTTGTTGCTTTGTGGTTTCTTACTTGTAGTTTTCTTTCTTCAATAGGTTTCTTTCTTCTTAAGGCTCGTTGGTCCTTTTCAGCTTAAAGGATAGGCATCCACCACACTAGTTAGTATGCACGTGTTCTAATGCGTTGAAGCTATCCCACTTTTCTGACACCAATTTCTTAAATCATTAGATTTAGAAATAACTTTTTAAAAAAATTTATTTGAGGACTGAACCTTCAGTCCATATAAAATACAAAGGTTTACAAATGTGACATTTACGGAGTTTACATAAGTGACTGTTACGGTGCCTAGCCGGGTAATGAACGACATGAAATGGGCGCAAGGCCTATTTATACTATTGGTGTGCTTACAAAGCACCTCTAGAAAATAAAGCGTAAACAACGAGTTAGCGAGAAGTCGTTATCTGTTGCTGAGCTAGCGTCTGGTGCAACATTGTATGGAATAGTAAGTCCATTGTTTTGAGTGCATATAACATGCCTGCCTCCTGAAGCTTAATATGTGATTGTATTCTGGTACTGTTGCTCCGATTCTCAAAAATGTTATGGAAGATAGTAATTTCAAGCCTAGGTCTTGTAGTTTTTCCTTTAAAACTGCGTGTGGTATTGTTGGGCAGACGTTCGATAGCACTAACCTGTCCGATGGTGAAATTAATTTACGGGCCTTAATTTTTTCTCCTTGTATTACAATTTCCCCTGGATTCTCTACGAATTTATTTACTAATTCCTTGCTGGAAAGGTATATGCAAATTCTGTTATTGGAAATTCTAGAGCAAAACAAAATGTTCTTCGGGTCAATCATTGGTCCTAATTGGAGCAAGTAATCTTGTATTCTTCCTCCGTCTATGGAATTGAAAACTATAGCTTGTTCTTTAGTTGGATGTTTATATGTAGTTAGAATTGTGGAATAGTGTGTGGGTTGGTTAATCGGTGTTGATGTCATTGTTGCTAATGTTTTATATCAGTAAGGGAAAATATCATTTCTGAATACGTACCTGTTCTTTCGAGGTCCAAATTCTGGACGCGTTTTTTCCGAACGCTTGAGATTGGAATGTTGAATAATTGATCCACTGATTTACGTATGTCTTCGGTATATAGCACAATATTTCCTACTCACAATGCGTCCTGGTTCGTGATTTGCACTATATGGTAGCAAGTCGAAAGTTGTTTGTGTTATGGTTCACTTTTAATATGGTAAATTCACGAGCTCACTATCAGATAGACTAACTGACTCGGTAGCAGGACCGAACTCCAAAAAAAAATATCTTAAAATTGCTATATAATGATTTCTTGGACAAAAATTTCAATCAAATATTTTTTTTTCGCAATTATTGACTGGTTCGTTATTAGGTAGACAATTAGAATACGTTACAAAACAAAAAAATTCACAAAACTATTTTTCCATATAGCAGTTAAACCTTATATATAAATTCGTAATGGACCATTTACATTGATCAGAAAAACTTTGGATTCAATTTTCGATGTTTCAAATCAAAATTGACAATTCCCATGATTCTATAAAACGACTCACGGCTCATATTGCGTTCAATTGTTGCTGAAGCGAACCTATAAAGACATAACATGCCTTTTTCGTTTGCCCCGAGAAATTGAAAAGTTGCTAAAGCGCTAAAATTTACATTTTGACTTACAAACTCCAAGCGCGTATTTAAACCGGATTATTCGATCTAGAATCCTAAAATTTCACAAAGTCTCATACCTCTATAGGTACTTTCCAGAAAAAAAAGCCCAATCTGATATATGACCTGCCAAGCCAAGTCGTGGAATTTTAATTTTGACCTATATACACTTTAACCAAAGAAATACTGTGTACTTTTCCTCTCTGTCGCGCGTCTTACAACCTCTTCCCTTCAAAGTGCTTGGTCAACAATTTTTAGATTAAATATCAACTCTCACACCTTTTCGAAATACCCTGTATATTTCAAAATACTTTCAAGATATACTTTTCATCAACTCACATATTTCTGTATAGATAAAGTTTCTTAAAAACCCTACCATTTAATCATAACAGACTGTGACACCAAAGATGAAAAATATTATATAAATATGAGATATTAACACAAAATCTTTTTTTAACTATTTAAATTAATTTCTTATCACTATCGCAAAGAAGTAATATATATATATATACATATACAGGGCGTCCGCAAAGTTGGGGTTTTCCTTTACACGACGTGTAGATCTTGAAAACATAAGCAATTTTTCTTAGTACCATATATACCAAAGGGAACCGAGATAAAGGGCTCTGCAACATCAAAAATATCTGAATACCGTCCTGTAGCCGCGACCCGGGACAGATTGGTCTCAACGCGACGGCAGAACTGGTTCGGGGTCAGTGTGTCAGGTCAGTATGCAACCTTCAACCGGTGGTTACGGTCACGCATGTAGAGGTAATCGCGTAGACGAGAATCTCTAGAGACGTGTCTAGAGAAGCGCAAGTATCAAAAGCTAAAGTGTGGCAAACGCTGCGTGAAGAGGGGCTATCCGTTTCACGTCCAACGTGTACAAGCCCTTCAACCTGACGATTTTCCAGCAAGAGTGCGGTTTTGTGAGTGGTTGTTGCATCAACATGACAATAATACGGACCTTTTGAAGTGCATATTGGTGACAGACGAATCTACGTTCACGCGTAATGGGGTGAATAACTTTCGCAACACTCATGTTTGGTCAGTAGAAAATTCGCACGCAATTACGCAACATTTTGCCTTCCTTGTTAGAAGATGTGCCGTTAAGTGTAAGACAATCAATGTGGTTTCTGCGTCTGCTCGGTAGCGCTTCAGCTGATTTCATTTTCTGTTGGAGCGGTATGATTTCGGGCAGAGACGTACTTAGCCCTTCTCGTCAACTGGAGAGTGAGTACTTTTTCCTTTATTTTTTTTACTTGGTCGCCCTCGTTTCACTACACATTACCTTTGTTATTTCAAGGGTAGTTGTTTCTGAAAAGGAAAACCCCAACTTTGCGGACACCCTGTATATATATATATATATAATTCATATCGTTCATCTGTTTTACCTTTTTCTACAATGCTATTTATTTTATCCACATACAAAGAACAATAATACATTAGAAACCAATTATTTCATTTATTTAAATCAATTATATTATTAATAAATTTTGTATCCCTTTTATAATGAATTTCCAGGTACAAGGAGAAATAAGACATCATATATCAAATAATTCGACTAATATTTCAAATGAACACAGACAATATGGCAATTTATATTTTTTGGAAACTGAACTGGCAAATCCACTTCGGTCTGTTGGTCCACAAAATCGAGCAGAATTAAATCGAGAAATCGTCGACCTCATCTCTAATTACTTGTACAATCACAATCCATTTGCTCAAGCATATAGATTTCTTAAGGATGTCTATCAATAACAACAACAAAGCAATCGTCATCCAACATTGGAATTGTACATCAATAACAACCGTGCTCGGGATATCAATTTCAGACAATATGGCGCGGTACAGGCCAATGAAATAGCAGCCGTATTTATTTCTGAAGATGGGAGACCGCCCCTGGATCGTGCTTACATGTTTATTGTCGAGACAACGACTAGACTATCCACAAATTACCATATCTTAGTGTCAATTGCGATGCAATGACCTATCCTCTATTACATCCAAGAGGTGAAGCAGGATGGCAGTCTAGAACACCACATCAATATAGAAGAGGCTATATACATATCGTTACTGGAATATTATAGTTTCAGAATAGCTGTTCGACCAAATACCTTCAACCAATTTGTAATGGCAGGCAAGCTAACACAACAGTACATCGTAGATGCATACGTAAAAATCGAACAAAGTCGACTACAATTTATTACTGAAAATCAACCACGTATTAGGCAAGAAATATTTCAAGGATTAATCGACTATTTAGACTCTAGACAATTAGATGTTCATTATCAACCAGGAAATATTTTCATCCTACCGTCGACATTCATATGAAGTCCACGCGCATTTAGACAAAACTATTTGGATGCCATGTCTATAGTCACAAAATACGGGAAACCAGATATTTTCCTAACATTTACTTGCAATCCTGCATGGCCTGAAATCAGGAAATAACTTAGATGCAAATCAACATTCCTCAAATAGACCTAATTTTGTATCCAGAGTGTTCAAGAGCAAATTAAAGGAATTAATAGAAGATATTGATAAACGACATATTATGGGAGTTTATGTTGCTTACGTTTACGTAATAGAATTTCAGAAAAGAGGACTTCCGCATGCGCATATGTTGATTTGGTTAGAAGAATCAGACAAAATATTGGACCCTGCAGCAATCGACCGTTTAATTTCAGCAGAATTTCCCGACCCTATCGCGCATGCCAACTTGCACGAATTGGTCAAAGTACATATGCTTCATGGACCTTGTACCAGTGCTCGATGCTTAGATGAAGAAGGACATTGCAGCAAACAATTCCCGAAATCTTTGCGTGAAGATACCTTATACAATCCCTCTGGATATCCGTTATATAAAAGACGGCCAATAGAAACACCTATACATATAGGTCGAAGAACGGTAGATAATAGTTGGGTTGTACCATATAACGCTTATCTACTTGAAAAATACGAAGCTCACATTAACGTGGAGGCTTGCTCTTCAATGAAAAGCGTAAAATATTTACTTAAATATATATACAAAGGATTTGATAGAGCTCAAATTGTCGTACGAACCGTGGAAGAAGACGGTCAAACAACAACTATCCAGGAACCTATGTACAACGAAATTCAAATGTTTCTGGACGTTCGCTATGTTAGCGCGCCTGAGGCGATGTGGAGGATTTATACATTCGAAATGCACGATATGTCTCATGCTATTATTAAACTCTTTGTACATCTTCCGAATATGCAACAAGTCTATTTTAATACAAATAGTACCATTCCTGACGTCGTAGAAAGGGCCGCAACACAACACACTACGTTAACAGGATGGTTCGCCTTAAATACCCAAGATGAAGAAGCTAGACAATACACATACGTACAGATACCTTATAACTATGTGTGGAAAATAACACAAACAAGAATCTGGGTAGAACGTCAACGTCATCAAAATATCATTATCCTTGGTGATTTAAATGTAAATTTATTTGCCGATAATACCTTACAACAATGTTTGGATATGTATGGTTTCAAGCAAATTATTGATGCTCCCACTAGAGTAACTAATAGTACAGCAACTCTTCTGGACCCTATTTTTATTAATACCCCAATTACTGTCACTAACTGGTTTACTTTAGATGCTAATTTGTTGTCCGATCATAAAATTGTTTGCTGTATCTTAAACATATCCCGTGTGAAACATGAACAAAAAATGATCACCTTCAGAGATTTCTCACACTTTGATGAGCAATCTTTCATTGATGACCTGGCTAGAGTAAATTTTATTGAAATGTGTTATATGAGGAATATTGATGATAAAGTTCAATTTTTCAGTAGCAAGTTAATTGACATCTTCAATCGTCACTCTCCTATTAGGACGGTACGCGTGAGTAAGCCGAAAGCGCCGTGGTTGTCATATCCGTTGAGACAGCTTCTGAAGCAAAAAACGAGAGCATATTATTTATACAAGATAGACAGAAGTCCAGCAAGAGTGCAGGTTTTCAGGGAACTTAGAAACCTTGCACTATCGTGCATTAGACATGAAAAAATGGCGTATCTTGCTCACTTGGAAAAAGGGCGTGATCAGAGAAAATTGTGGTATGAATTGAAAAATATGAAAGCACAAACATCTGATAAGCCATGTTATGTGCGGCAAGGACACATCCGTTCCAGTCTGGTGGTAGGTTTATTTTAGTTTACAAAGTGGACTGTATTTGATTTGGAAAATGAGTGACAATACAAATTTCTTGAACCTGTTGATGCGTTCTATCTCGACTACTTCCTCTTGGTCGCGGCGCTTCGATCTCCTGGTGTCTCCGTCCCCATTGGCTGGATTCAAAAACTGCCAGGCAGCGCTTGCGGAGTGGTCGTGGCTGGTACACAGTGGCGCGCGCGCCAAATGACCATTGGCGTAACATAGGCCGCCCCCTTGAAAGCCTCCAGGCTTTCAACACGATGAGATGCTGTCGTCGTCTGGAAGTGGAAGAGCACAAAGCTTGACTACTGGCCTTTTGTACTCTCCAGTTGAAGTTCTTAAGGTAACAGTTCGAGTGATGTGGTCTGGTCCGGCATGGAGTTCAGTTATTCTGCCGATTCTCCATTTCAATGGAGGGAGTCCGTCTTCTTTAACTAGCACCAGAGTGCCGATCTTGAGTCTTTGAATGAAGTTCTCCTTCCACTTGGTGCGATGCTGCAGATGTGAGACATATTCTTTGGACCACCTGGCCCAGAAGTGCTGCGTCATTTTCTGCAGTCGTTCGAAACGAGATAATTGGTTTCCAGGAACGGTTAACCAATCTTTGTCTGGTGTAGCCATTAATGATTCGCCGATGATGAAGTGCGCGGGTGTGAGAGGAGAAGGGTCTGAGGGGTCGTCTGATAAAGGGTAAAGAGGTCGAGAGTTCACACATGCTTCAATTTGAGTCAATGCCGTATAGAACTCTTCAAAAGTTAATAGCGTTTCACCGACAGATCGTTTTAAATGGTGCTTTACCGTTTTGACTGCGGCTTCCCATAGCCCCCCAAAGTGAGGTGATCTAGGTGGTATGAATGTCCATTTAATACCATCAATGGCTAATTTTTCCGAAATGGCATCAGTCCGCTGTAAAATGAATTGTTTTAGTTCTTTACTAGCACCCACGAACGTTGTTCCATTGTCTGAGATTACGTGAGAGCAAAAACCTCTGCGAGAAGTAAATCTTCTGAAAGCAGCGAGGAAACATTCAGTTGTGAGGTCACTAACGATTTCAATGTGAATTGCCTTAACTGCGAGACAAACAAATAAAGCAATGTAAGCCTTGGATAACTTGGAGTTACGCGTCTTGCTGAGATTAATAGTGAATGGACCGGCAAAGTCGATTCCTACAGATAGGAATGGTCGCCCAGGAGTGACTCGAGATTTCGGCAAACTTCCCATCAAGTATCTTTCTTGATTAAGGCTAAAGCGAAAACAAGAGATACATTCCCGAATAATCTTTCGTACAAGCCTTTTGCCGCCGATAGGCCAAAATTTTTCTCTGATAGATGCTAGAAGACCTTGACATCCGATGTGTTTTAAACGTTGATGTTCATGTCGAGCGATAATCACGGAGAAATGATTATTTTGGGGTAGGACGTATGGATGTTTCTTATCATAAGGATAATCAGATATTTGCAGACGACCGCCAACACGAATAAGTCCATGCGAGTCAACAAAGGGAGATAAACTAAGAAGACTGCTTTTAGAGCAAACTCTTCCGTCCTGGGTTAGCTGTTGAAGATCGATAGGAAAGGAAGATCTTTGAACTATCCTTATAAGGTATGTTAGAGCATTATCGAGTTCAATAGGTGTCAAGGGGCCAGTTAGCTGATGCTCCTTTGACAGAGTCTTGAGTTTGAACCTGCTGATATAGCCAAACACCCGAAGCAACTTAGAGAACGAAGAGAACTTGATAATTACAGAAGAGAGATGATTTTCTGTTGTCGAGAATAATGAAGTGATCTTTTCCTTGCGTTCAAGGAGATCAAAGCTATCGTTTATTGGGCTATCTTTAAAATGGGGCCAATTCGACTGTTCCCGTGACAGCCAAATAGGACCATGAAACCAAAGATTGGAGGTTAGAAAATCTGACGGAGATATTCCGCGCGACAACAAATCTGCTGGGTTATCACTTGTATGGATATAGTTCCAGGAAACAGGATCAGATAAAGCTTGAATTTGAGAAACTCTGTTCGCAACAAACATTTTAAGAAGATGAGGTGATAATTTCAACCAGCATAATACAATTTTCGAGTCACACCAGTAACAGATTTGATCGAAATTCAGCTTCATGGATTCTTTGACAGTTGATACGAGTTTGACAAGGAGAAGAGCTGCGCATAGCTCGAGCCTGGGAATAGTAACCTGCTTAAGTGGAGCTACCCTAGTTTTTGCACAGAGAATCTTGGTATGAAAATTTCCTTGAAAGTCTACGGATCGAATATACACAACTGCTCCGTATGCCTTTTCAGAAGCATCTGAAAATCCATGAAGTTCGATAGAGATTGGTTTGTGACATATCACGTGTCTAGGAAATTGAACAGTGTTCAATTCAGAGAGCTTTGATCTATAATCAAGCCACGTTGTATAAAGCTGAGAGGGAATGCTTTCATCCCATGAAACTTTGAGTTTCCACAAGTCTTGCTTTATTAGCTTGGAGGTGATAGTGACAGGCGATAGGAGACCTAATGGGTCGAAGATTTGCGCTATACATGATAAGATGTGACGCTTTGTGATTTTTTGAGAGGCACTAGTCTCAGCTATACAATAAGTGAGAAGGTCCAGCGTCGCATTCCAAAATATGCCCAAAGTTTTGTTTTGCTGATCTGCACCGATTTGTATAGTCTCAGAATTTGCGAGAATATCTTTGTGGTTTGAGGACCATTTTCTCAAAGGGAAACCATGTTGGTTGAGTAAATCTGTAAGCTCTGCCTTCAAGGCCAAAGCCTGATCCACCGTCTCTGTGCCCGTGAGAAGGTCATCTACGTAGAAGTCTTCAATAATTACACGACAGGTTGAAGGATAAGCTGTCTTATGAATCCGAGCTACTTCATGTAGCGAACGAATCGCAAGAAATGCCGCCGAGGCTGTTCCGTACGTGACAGTGTTAAGTTCAAATGATTGCAAGTCTTTGTTCCGATCGAACCGCCATAAAATCTTTTGCAGATGGCGCTGATCTTCTCGAACCAGTACCTGCCGATACATTTTGGCGATGTCGGCACCAAGAACAATGCTGTGCTTCCGAAAACGAAGTAGGATCGAGAAAAGATCATGTTGGATAGTAGGGCCGATCATCATAATGTCGTTGACAGAATAGCCCGAGGTGGACTTGGCGGACCCGTCAAAAACTACCCTTAGTTTAGTCGTAGTACTATCATTTTTCATGACACAATGATGCGGCATGAAAAACCCAGTGTTGTCTTGATTCCGGCACAATGACATGTGTTTACAAAGTGGACTGTATTTGATTTGGAAAATGAGTGACAATACAAATTTCTTGAACCTGTTGATGCGTTCTATCTCGACTACTTCCTCTTGGTCGCGGCGCTTCGATCTCCTGGTGTCTCCGTCCCCATTGGCTGGATTCAAAAACTGCCAGGCAGCGCTTGCGGAGTGGTCGTGGCTGGTACACAGTGGCGCGCGCGCCAAATGACCATTGGCGTAACAAGCCACGTATTCCAAACCATCTTGCAGACTCGTTCCTTGCAAATAATTATTTCATATCAGTTTTTGATTCCTCAAATGCTCCTGATCACGTTTTACGGTATTATAACGAAAATGTTCCCCATATTAATAAATTTTCTTTCAGGCTTCTAGAGCCTCATGAAGTAGCTGAAATAATTTCTAGTTTTAAGTCCGATGCAAAAGGTACTGATGGGTTGAGCTTGTCTATGATTAAGCTCAGTCTGCCTGTTACTCTCATCTACATCACCCACCTTGTTAATAGTTGCCTTGAAAGAGGTTATTTCCCTGAAACGTGGAAGCGAGCAATTGTGGTACCAGTTCCAAAAAAATCAAATCCAGATGAGTTTGCTGATCTAAGGCCTATAAGCCTATTGCCTTGTTTATCGAAGGTAGTTGAAAAGGCAGCCCACATACAACTAATGCATTATGCAGAGGAACATGTCATCCCATCTGATCAGTCTGCTTTTAGGAAATCTTTCAGTACTACTACTTCCCTCTTAAACTTAGTGGATAATATTATTAGAGCACTTGATAAAAAAATGGGCGTAGCAGTGATGTCAATCGATTATTCCAAGGCATTTGACAAAATAAATCATGAGTTGTTAATAGCAAAGTTGAAGTATTATGGCATAGATCCAATTGCATTGAACTTTTTTCGAAATTATATATCAAATCGATCGCAGTGTGTATCAATTGAAAACAATAAATCTAGTTTTCTAGAAATCTCGTCTGGAGTACCCCAGGGGTCTGTTTTGGGTCCCTTGTTGTTTTTGATATATATTGCTGATCTGCCTAAGGCTGTGAGTTTTTGTGAACTCCAGTCTTTTGCGGATGATACTCAACTGGTCCATTATTTTGATACTGATGATATGGAAATGGCACAGACATCAATAAACCATGATATTCAAAAAGTGTATGACTTCTCGAATAACCACAACCTGTCAATAAATCCTGGTAAATCCAGCCTGTTATTTTTTTGTTCGGATCGTAGGAGGGAAGAAATTAAAAGTCGATTAACAATTAAAATTGGATCTCAACGACTGTACCCCGTTGACGAGGTTAAAATTCTTGGCGTGATAATCGATTTCAAACTTAGATTCACCAGTCATGTTAAAAATCTTTTGAAGAAAACCTACTTGAGACTGAGATCACTATATGCCAATAAAGCAATTTTCAATTATAAGCTAAGGAAAAAACTGTGTTCATCTTTGGTTATGCCGATTTTCAACTACTGTGATATTTTATATTATCCGTGTCTCAATGTTGTTACTAGAAATCGGATTCAAATTGTGCAAAACAATTGTGCTAGGTTCATCTGCGGTTTAAGGCGCTTTGACCATGTTTCTGGTAGTCTTATTGAATTAAACTGGATGATAACAAAAAATATTGTCAAATATCATTACCTTGTTTTTATTCATAAACTAATCCTTATGTCAAAACCTATATACTTAAGAGAAAAGCTGATCTTTAGGCGTAATATTCATCATAGACTTATTAGATTTCCAGATTTGATAACTACACCTATTCACTCCACTACTTTATTCCAGCGTTCTTTCACGTATAGGGCTTCAGTGTTATACAATGCCTTGAGTCCTGAATTCAAAACCATGTCCTTAAATTGCTTCAAGAAAGCTGTTAAATCTTATATTTACTTGGATCCATAGTCTTAATTAGATTGCTATAGATATATTGTTAAATGACTCATTTCCCTTGTGTACATGTAGCAAACCTTGGTGCAACATGTACGTATGTAATGTGTGTATATGTATGTATGTATGTACATGTGTATGTATATATGTATATTTTGTTTAATATCTGCTACTTAACAACTTGTTTTTTCTGCATGGGTGGTTAAGTGTAAGAGTAGCATGTTGCTAAACTTCGCCACCATATGCAACTCTTGTTTTTCTGTATGAAGTACAGTTTAAATAAAGACGATTATTATTATTATTATTATTATTTTAATCGTATATTCCTAGATTATATTTTGTAAATCCTAGAGAAGGTGAAAGATTTTATCTTCGTCAACGTCTTTTGCATAAAACAGGATGTAGATCATTCGAAGACATTAGTACTGTACATGGCCGTACGTACGAAACGTTCCGTGACGCTGCTATTGCGATGAACCTTCTCACGGACGATAGTATTTGGTTCACCATGTTGCAAGAAGCTATACACGTACAACTTCCACGAGCTCTTCGTCGTATGTTTTCACAGATGTTGCTGTTTTGTGAAATCGAAAATCCATTAGCATTGCGGGGAACAATTTAAATATCATTTATCTGAAGATTATATACGACGCTTAAATGATAACGACCTAGCCTACAACTATGCCTTGGCTTACATCAATCGATACCTAGCACTACAAGGTTAATATTTCTATCAATAATTACTTTTATTAATTCATTTAAAATTGATACTTATGTTTTCAAATACTTTTTTTATTTCACATTTTTTAAGCTTATGAAATCATTTATTTTCGTATTAGAAAATTTTTGAATTTAATCACTTTATATGTAACAGTACTGTGATGTAATATGAATTCAATATTTAATATATTTATCGCTATTAAGTTAACACAACATAAGCATTTATGTTCCAATCAATTTCAGATGAATACAAAATTATATACTAAGTGACATATAAATCCGAACACCCAGTTTAAATGGTTTTATTTTAATAAAATTTTGTATAAGTACTTAATGAAGCATAATAAGTAAATGATAAAAATTTCAAAATGATTGCACTGCTTTAAAGCCCTTTGACCTTTAATAATATGTGGATGCACCCTGATGTGCTACGCATTCTCCAACGCGCCTAGGCATGCTTCCGATCAGGTGGTCAATGTCCTCCTGTGGTATCTCATTCCAGGCAACCACCAACTCCTCTCGAAGTGCTTCTAGAGTCTGAGGAGGACGTTGCAAATTGAGCAATCTCCTACCCATCATATCCCACACGTGCTCAATTGGGGATAAGTCGGGAGATCTTGGTGGCCATGGTAACAATGTGACATCATTATGTTGAAAGAAGTCTATTGTGACTCTTGCAACTTGTGGTCGGGCATTATCTTGTTGGAATGTTGGATTTGCCAGGGTGTCAAGATAGGGTAAAAGATGGGGTTCTAGAACTTCGTGGATATAACGCTGCGCGTTCATGTTACCTCTGATGAAGATTAAAGGTGACCTGGAACCATAAGCTATAGCACCCCAAACCATAACTCCAACAGTGTGATGAACATGTCTTTCAACAAAAAACTGTGGATTCCTCCTTTCACCACGTCGCCATCTAACCCTGGCACGACCATCGTGCATGCCTAAACAAAATCGAGACTCGTCACTAAAGACAATGCTGTTCCATTCCTGATCCCAGAGTGACCGTTGTCTACACCACTCAAGGCGATTACGTCGGTGTTTTCGAGTTAAAGGGAGGACCCAGTGTGGCCGGTATGAAAACAAGCCAAAACTTCTCATTCGTCGGTAAACACTTCGCATGCCAATAGGTCTTCCGTGTTCTGCAAACCATTCATTTGCAATGGACCTGGTAGTGGAGAAACGGTCCCTTAAGGCCAATTATCTTAGGCGGCGATCTTCACGGTCTGTTGTTCTCGAAGCCATGCCTGACAACACCTAACTACAGTGTCTACACTTCTTTGCACTCTAACTGCAATTGCCCGAAAAGAAAGTCCAGCTTCCCGAAGTCCCACTATACGGCCCCTATCAAACTCACTAAGTTGACGAAATCGTACAGGTCTCCGTACTCTAGGCATCGTAACCGATCGTAAAGGATGTCAAGAACCAAAATCCGCCAACGTTGATTCTTTACTGCGGCTGAAATATTCATTTTTAGAGCGTTAGTGAATTAAAAAAAAGCAGTATAAAAACCAGAATGTCCAACTGATAAGGCTGAAAATTTTTTCACTTGTTATTTACAGTAAGATAAATACATTCACCAACTTTTATTAAAATAAAACCATTTAAACTGGGTGTTCGGATTTATATGTCACTTAGTATATTAAAACTATATTATGATAAGTAATTACTCAATATAATTATAAAATGTTTATACAACTACTTATTACATTTTTATTTTTAGGCAAATCAAACAGAGACTTTCAACTGCTCTTACCCACTGGACCAGTAGAACACCTAATCGAAGATGAATACGATTATGATCAATCAGAAGAACAAGAAATTGCTAATAGGAACATTCCCCTTTTAAACCAAGAGCAACGACGTATTTTTACCGATATACTTTTAGCCGTAAACGAAAATGAAAGAGTTTCACATCGTCTTTTCTTTATTAAGGGAATTGGAGGTGCAGGAAAAACATTTCTATTGAATACACTACTGACTTACCTACCAGGAAATAATCACCGTTACATTGCTATCTGTTATACAGGTATCCCAGCCAGCTTACTGATAAATGGCCAAACGATTCATCCTGCTTTTATGTTACCGGTTCCATTTCTAGAAAATTCAACGTCAAGGATTCGCAATCAGAGTGCGATTGCTGATAATATTAGATATTCAAAAATTATTGTCATTGATGAAATATCGATGGTACATAAAAGTATATTTAATGAAATAGGTAGGAAGATAAGAGAAATAATGAACAATGACATTCCACTTGGCGGCAAGATTATTATAATTCTAGGCGATTTCAGGCAATGCGCACCTATCGTTCCATTGGCCGGCAAAAATGAAACTATTTCTGCATCAGTGAAATGTTCCCAACTATGGCAACACTTTGTTAAGTACGATCTTCTTACGAACGTTAGAGCACTGCCACAGCAAAACGAGTTCAAAGATTGGCTCATGATCATAGGAAATAATTCCAAAATTTTACGTCACTTAGAAAATGGCAGAGATACTATAGTCAAAGTTCCTAACCATATTATTGTAGAAAATGTTACTGAAAGCATTTACGGTAGCAATTTAATTGAACACGATTTCCGTTAAACATTCATGTGAAGGATATCAATGCAGTTGTTTTAGAAAAACTGCCAGGCAGATCACGACAATATATAGTGTTGATAGTATTATCCGAGAAGACGATACAACTGAAAATGCTGCTGATGATTTAGATTCCGCATGTCCACAAGACTTTTTAAATTCTTTGGATGCTCCAAGACTTCCTCCCCACATTCTTACGCTATAGATTGGTGCAGTTATCATTTTAACGAAGAATTTAGATCTAAAGAGAGGTTTATGTAACGGCACACGCTTATTGATTCATAATTTACACGAAAATTTTATAGAAGCAAAACGAGTAGAAGACCCTAATAATGAACCTTCGATCGAATTAATTTCCAGAGTTGACAACATCGCTCTAAACTCTCTTGATCTACCAGTCAACTTGAAAAGGAGACAATTACCTGTACGTTTGGCTTTTGCAATGACAATTAATAAAAGCCAAGGTCAAACTTTGAGCAGTGTATGAAATCTTTTTCTCATCGATAAGGGTACATCTTTATAACATAGCTTTCTGAAAAATCAGAGAACTACAGGGTGATTCTTAATGGTTGGAGGCAATCAATGTGCCCATTGATAATTTTGTGCAAGAAAAGTAAGGCAAATTCCATGCTGAATCTTTCAAAAGAAGTCATACCTTTCTAATGTGTTATATGAAAAAGATCAGTGTTATCAACAAAGATACCCCTCATATTACGAAATTTGATATTAAAAATATTATATACTCTGTATATTTCCAACTGAATATGTAAAGCATGGAGGTCTTTTCTACATTTTTTGCAGTTATAACTTGGGGACAAGTTAGAACAGCAATTTTTTTATATTACATAACCTTCGCTATGTGCACCAGTATAATTTTTATGTTGAATAACTGTTAATAATGCTTTAATATAACTACTATTAAAATCTATATTGTTCACATATGATGGGTGTTATAATATATATGTAGACATACTTTAACCATCGAATCCTTGGTCAATTTGATAACGAAATTTCCATATGAACATGGATCCGCAACAGCTTTGTTTTCAACCTAAAGCATACTAGCACAAAGAAATATTGATGTTCTAAGAAATTATAAAAGAATGGAACACATTTGGTGTGGTGAATATCACATGATTACAGTTGTTTTCAGATCCTCCATGTACGTAGATACGGATAATGTTATCCAGTGTTTTTTGAAAAAATAGCATGACAATGATTTGATTTAATCCCAATACTTTTCATATAATGACATTTGGGAATTAACTTTCAGAAACATAATTTTTCTTTTCATTATGTTGTATTTTCTAGGTTAGAAAAGACCTATGACATTGACTTAACATCACAAAACAAAAAACATTTACACTGAAAAAGGAACAGTCCCGTGCTGTCCATAGGCGAACACGATTGATTTATGGCTAGAGATGATCGATATATCGGTACCGGCGACCTTTCCCGGTGACTTCAATGGTCGCCGTTAGTCCCGGCGACCTGATTCTCCATGAAGCAGCGACCCAGATCGCTGTTTGGAAGTATCGGTAACCACTGATCGGTAGCTGTAACGCTGTTTCGGTCGCGGTCGCTGCCAGGAAGCATATACACATCACGTTCGCGATCATCGCGCGGGAAGTACAGGGTCGCTACGGCGTAGCCTAACCTATTTTGTTAGTTTTTATTGTTATTGTTGTGAGTTCCTGTTTCATAGAAAAATGTTTCGTTTATTAAGCAATGTTTAACATATAAAAGAAGCATTTTTATACTACATTTGTTATGTTTTAAAAGTTTTATTTTGACTGGTAAAACAGTATTTTGTTTTCCTTTTTAAGATTCATAGAAAGATATTTTATGTATTTTTATGATTTTATGTGTTTTGTGCTCAATATTGTTAAAAACAAAAACCTTAAATATAGTTTAATTCAAATCTTCAGGAACCTGAACATCTACACCTCGTTAATATCAATGGATAACAGCCGCCAAATATCGAGTAATGTAATCAGCGCCAGGGAGTCGCTGGCTGCTGGCAGCGACCATAGATAAGCAGTGACCTAAAGCGCTGCTAAATCTACCGGCGACTTTAAGGTCGCTGTCACCGATATCCCGGCGACTTCCAAGTCGCTGCTAATATCATCTCTATTTATGGCAGTCAAGCGCTATTTTTTTGGCACGTCACGTGATTGCCAGATATATAAGCAACGTTGCCGGCTCCTCACATAAATCTGAGCTTATTATACAATTTTATAGAGGACATTAATACTGTATGCAAGATTTTATAACGCCATCTGTGTTATTAACGACAGATGCGACGTTGCCGGCTCCGCACATAAATCTGAGTATGTTATAAAATTTTATAGATGGTATTTTTAATGCTATATGGAAGATTTTATAACGCCATGTTAACTGACAACTCACAACAGATAATGTCAGATGTCAGATACCAGGTACCAGATAACAGATAACAGATCAAAGGTGATAAAGGATAGATAATGATTAGAGATAGGGATAAAGTATATCATTAACATTGCATTAGCATACCAGCAACTGCGCTACGTGAGGTTTTAAATAAAGACATCAACATACAATATTTTGCATAGCGTTAGCATGCCAGCAACCGCGCTAGTCGACTATATTAAGCGGTGGTCGATTGTTTTTCGTAGAAGGCCACGTGACGCTAGAGATTCAGGCCGTGCGACGTCGACGCGGTTTTTCCGGTTTTTTTCCCGGTTCGCGAAACGTTCGCAAGGAAAGAGGTACCTTTTCGGAAAGTAGAAACTCGACGCTTTACCGGGGAGCGGGAACCGTCGCGGTGAGAGGAACGGATCGGATCGAAAACGGCCGGTAAAGTCGAAAAATCGACCGTTTGTCGGGCGGTACGCGGCGTTATTTCACACTCGTTTCGCCGTTTATCGAAATATCGACTCGAGATCGGTCTCGTTCGATAGCTAAACGAGAAATACGTGCCTATCAGCTGAATCCGTTCGGTTCCGCGTCTCGGTTTTTTTTCTAGGAATGTTCGAAAAAAAAGCGACAAAAATGACGAATCGCCCGGAAAACTACGATATCTCCCTTATGCCGAAGAGAAAAGGAATTTCGCGCGCCGCGTTTCGTACATCTCGGCGAGCGCTACAAATTACGCGGAGAGACGTTTTTTCGTTTACGGTACCCGTTTCGAATAAACGAACCTCGAACGTCGTCAAGAATGACTTTTTGCGTATAAAGCACGCTGCTTCGCCGTCGATCAGACATCTCCTCCGAAGATAAAGGAGCTACGAACCTGACGATTTTTGCGTGAGAAAGCCCGGACATCGGACACAAAGATAGCGTCTTTGTTTTTCCTTTATCCCTTGTCGTTCGAAAGTTTCGATTTTTCAAAAATTGCCCGACAACACGCTACATTTCGATGCGTGGAACAGTTATTTTGTCATCCGGCTCTGTCTTCGCCTATTACTACCGTACGTGAGCGAGTAAAAATTATACAGCTATCGAAAAATAACGATAATGAGCTGACGAAACTATTCTGACCGTCAGAATTACCGTCAAATTTCGAAAAAGTAAACTTTGAGCGCCTCAAAAGTACCGATGACAACCGTTTTTCGGCGTACTTTGTCTTCGTCGTTACGGACCTGCGTTACGGAGCGACATGGCTACGATTTTTTTTCGCAAAACGAAAGACCAAAGTCTCCTGATTAAACCGACATACGACACGTTACCCGATCGCATTTTTTAAACACGGCTGATTACAAAATTCAAAGATATGTACACATTTTTAGTTTGACGTTTCAATTTTGAATTTCCGCTCCAGATCCCCGGATTCCTGTTAGGCGGGGTATTGTAGATACGATCGTATTACGAAAGTGAGCGCGTGCGAGCGGAACGTCCGAAACGTGCTATTTTCGGCTTTATGTCGGTCGCTTCATCGAATATAGGATCACGCCGAATACCATTGTCCTTTTTTACGCGTGAAAATCAACATTTTCGAAAAGATTCAAAATTTCTATATTCCATTGTCTAAACGGACCGGACTATAGCCATTAAAATCGTATGAATCTAGTAGTTTTTTATGTTTACAGATTGCGATGTTTACCGCCAGAGGCTGCAATTATTCTTTGACGTTTATCAGTTTATTGAAATCATCATCGGTTTATAAATACGATAAAAATATGATTGTAAGCCCCTATTCATGTTATAATTTTACAATATGTCATAAAGCTCCGCTTTTCCAACCGATTGATATAAAGCATATGTCTGATTGCATCACCTCCTATTTCTAACTTACAAGGTATGAATGTAAACATTATCGAAATCTTAATAATGAGGCTCCCGTTAATAAGGATTAATTAGAAGCTTAGAACAAGCAATCACAACTACACATAGTGAAAGTGTTGTGAAGTGTTTACAGTGTATGTATTTCTATGGCAAACGTAAGTAGTCTCAATCACGTTTCATTTGAATTTATTACTTGTTGATTAATGCAATTAAAACTTGAGCGATGCTCTCTGTTGTCTAAACAATCATTCAGAATAATATGTAACCATTCAAATTTCTGTACAAGTGATGAAAATTGTTGATTACTTTCATGTTTTGAATGCAAATGGAATCATAGCTCACTTTTACATAGGCATTTGTGTTAGGTGTGAGATTATGTCAGTGCACTATTTCAAGTTTGTGACTACTTCTATGAAGTTCAGTAAGAGTTCAGTCTTGACCCTCAGTTCAATTTATCTAAATATGTAGACCTATTAGCTGGCTAACAGTGCTACATTATTATAGAATTCTCTATTACATAGGAGGATCTATCCCTTCGATTGGCACATATTATCAAGCAGATGAAGGAATATGCAAAGCGCTGAAAAATAGCATTGATAATCATATCTACTACCAAAGTTTTCAAAATTACTAAGACTTTCACAGCCACTGCAGTTGTTTATTTTGATCTCAATGCAGAATGTATGTACTTCGATTTAGAATGTAGCTGCTTTAAGGACTTGTCAAAACAACAGACACCATTACTTGTCAACATTTGTAAGATAAATACTCTTGCACAGTATAATCGTAACTTGGTATAGACATATTAGTGATATCGCTTAGATTAAGCCTGCCAGGGGAGTGAAAGTTACCTATACGAAACGCAAATACAAGATTGCTTTCTCAATTTTTTTTCAATTCAACCTCATAGAAGTACATATTTGTTGAATAGCTTTGAAAAGATCGAGGGACTACCCTGTTATAGCTGGAGTACTGAACTCTACATTAAAA